AAACAAGTAGGACAGCAGCCTTCCTCACCATCCAATAATTTGGACGGTGACGATTTCTTGAGTAAAGTCAATGGAAAATGGGGCCACCGAGAAATCCTTTTTAGAAACCTTCCGTATTCTTCCCCAATATCTCTCTCGGCATTTTACTTGGTTTTCTCTCTCTATCTGCTTCACACGAGCCTACTGTAGTCTTCTCCAATTTCTCTTTGAGCATTTTACCTGATTTTCTCTCTCTGGGAGCTATCTCCCTCTCTCTGCAACTACGGTTTTCTCTCTCTAGGCGCTATTTTCCTCACGCTGATCTCTCTGCAACTAAAGAGAGATTAATTGATATCTCTCTCCCTCATGATGATAGCTCTTTCCAGGCGCTCTATCCCTCTCTCTTCTTTGGATTCTTTCCTCCTTCTATGTGGATTTACATTCTTCTTGCAATTTTTCTCTAGCTAAGTTTTTATTTTCTTGTTCAATGTCACAAAAAAATTAGATCTTTTGATTTACTTAGTTTTCTCTTATTCCTCAATTTCTCCATGCCACTTTTTAGTTACGTTAGCCTTTGATGTGAATGACTCACCTGTTGTGTTTTGTTTGTGGGTTTTTTTATATCATTGGATTCATATTTTCTGTTTCCATTTAGTCTCCATATAATTTTATAAGAAAAACCAAAAATTTGAAGAGATTTCGATGAGTAGATGGAGACCATTGAGAAGATTATAATGCAGTTTGAGAGAGATAAGAAAGGGGAATTTCTTCTGACGTCCTATTTTCCTTGGTTTACCCTGCAAGTTTGAAGTAACATGAGATGCTCAACAACTTAATCATCGAGTGCGCATGGTTTTAAGAGAGAGCTATCTTGAATTAGTTTTTCTTTTTTCCCCCAAATCATGGTTCTTAAATTAACATGAAAGAACAATCTAGTAGAGTGAAATTGGCATAATCAAAGGAAAAATTTCAGATAAAAAAGAAACGTAGACGCTCTGTCACTCTGTGTTGTATATGTGTTTTTATTATGGATATGACAAATGACGTTTTAGAATTCGCAATGGTAGCCTCATCCAATTTTTGAAATGCTTCCAAAAAAACTCAAAAGGAGACTTCAATTCAATAACTTTGAAATCTGAAGCCAAGCAACTAACAGTAATACTAGCGTTTGAGAACTCAAAACTCAATTTTTTATTTTTCAAAATAATTACCTAATGATTCTTAGATGGACCTAAACTTTTGAAAAAGAAAACTTAAGTCGCTCAAAGGGACTAGTGCAACGGGCTCCCGAACAATTTTCATGCTCTTTATGTTTTTATTTATTGTTTAGCAAGACAATTCCATTGGTGTGACCGGATTCAGTGAAAGAGCATGTATAACATGCTCCCGCAGGAGCAGAACATATACTGTATATTAATTTCCTCTGGCAAAACGGTTGTTTAGGAGGATATTTTTAATATAAAATTATGGGATGTACCCAAAAA